TTTTTTTTTGCTTTTCCCTTCTCAGGAGATTTTGGATCAGATGGAGTCACTCAAGTTAGAAAATCATCATCTTTCTGAAATGGTGATGAAATTGGAATTGGGTTTACATGAGGTACATAAATAGAAACTTAAGTCTTTTTCTGTTATCCAAGCCTTTTAAAGAAGTAGCTTTAAATATTGATGTTGTAAAGAGAGAGTTAAGATCAAACAATGGAATGCTCCTTCTGCAGAAACATTCTCAAGTCAAGACAATGATGGAAATGAGCAAAATATCACTCTCCGCTTTAGCAATTGGAAGATTTTTTTTTATTATGCATATGACAAAATATATGTACAGTCTGTGTTCTTAATAGGGAGCGTGTATATAAAGTGCTCAGCATAGTGTCTGGAATGTAGTAAGTATGTGGTAAATGTTACGTACTATTATTAGTGTTGCAGGTACTATGTTCATAATATCTTGTCCTTATAAAGTATATCACCTTTTACATAATTTGGTTTTAATTATACTTCTATATGGTATAATTAATTTAGTCAAATATTCTAGAATCTTTTACATTCAAAGTATTTTATTTTTTTTAAATTTTTTTTTTTCTTCAACGTTTTTATTTATTTTTGGGACAGAGAGAGACAGAGCATGAACGGGGGAGGGGCAGAGAGAGAGGGAGACACAGAATCGGAAACAGGCTCCAGGCTCTGAGCCATCAGCCCAGAGCCCGACGCGGGGCTCGAACTCACGGACCGCGAGATCGTGACCTGGCTGAAGTCGGACGCTTAACCGACTGCGCCACCCAGGCGCCCCCATTCAAAGTATTTTAGTAGACAGTGTAACAGACACAAGGATGGCTGAGGATTCTTGCCTTAGGAGAGTGAAAGTAAACCAGTAAGGAGGGTAAGAAGTGTGTACCAGCTCCTGTGAAGTGGGCAGAATATGCTTACTTAACAGTGAGTTATAAACCCTGTGGATGTCCTTTTAGCTATTTTTTAATAAAATTCTTGTAATTTGCGAAATGACCCATCTGTTCTGACCCATCTCTTCTTGATGTTGGTCAAATGCCCGAAGATTGTAGAAATTCTTTTTTTCTGCACTTCCAGAGAGTGTGTGCCTTCAGAGATGTATGGTTACACAGCCCCTATTTGCTATTAAGTAGTTTTAATTTCATAATCATGGTTTATGGGGGCTGGGGTGGGAGAAAGTGCAAAATACTAAATGAATACTTTATTTCAAGTAAAAGAAAATATTGGGGACTATCTTTATAATCTTTTGGGACAGTAAGATTCTCTTAGCATCATGAATGCATAAAGAATTTTACAGCATAAACAATTTTACAACATAAAAATGTAAAATTTGTGGATGGCATAAGACCCCATAAAACAAGACTAATAGTGTTGGGGAAAACAATTTGTACATAGTCAAAAGGTTAATATAAAATATTAATATGGGGCGCCTGGGTGGCTCAGTTGGTCAAACGTCCAACTTCAGCCCAGGTCATGATCTCACGGTTTGTGGGTTTGAGCTCTGTGTCAGGCTCTGTGCTGACTCTCACAGTCTGGAACCTACTTTGGATTCTGTGTCTCCCTCTTCCCTTCCCCTGCTCATTCTCTGTCTCTGTCTCTCTCTCTCAAAAATAAACTTAAAAAAATTTTTTTTAATTAAAAAAATTAATATAAGGATTTCCTGCAAAGATAATAAAAAGATCGGATTCCAGTAGAAAAGTGGACAAAGAACAGATAATTCATAGAAGTAATGCAAAAATCTAGTGACCAAGAAAAGCTTATTTAACCTCCCTATAACCAAAACAAAATAAATATTTTTTTGCTAACTGGCTTGACAGTGATTTTTAAGAATGAGTATAATCAGTATTGGCAAGGATATAGGGCAACAGACTCTTAAGCTCTTGTTAACGAGAAAGTGAATAGATATGGCCTTTCTAGAGGACAATTTAGCAATGTCCATTAAACTTGTAAATATATATAGCCTATAAAGTCCTGGATCATCTGGATTTCTGATTTTGATAGTCATTGCAGAATAGTTCTCCAGAAAGGTCATACCAGTTTGCATTTCCAAAGAACCCATCTTATAGGAGCAAATGTGCAGAAATGGTCATTTTGATGCTATTTTCAATGTCTAAAAATTTGAAATAAGTTAAATGTTAACCTATAGAGGGATGGTTCATCTGTGCCTATCTATACTATGAAATATTACGTCATCATTTAAGGTGGCAGATGAAAATAATGCATCTAATTTTGCTCCCTCCCAAATCCCTCTAAAACTGTAATGAATGGATTTTTCTTAATTTTAGTAATTTGTTTAAGAGTTTACTTATTTTGAGAGAGAGAAAGTGAGTGAGAGTGTGTGCAAGCGGGGGAGGGGCACAGAGAGGGGGAGAGAGTATCCTAAGCAGGCTCCACGCTGTCAGACCCTGATGTGGGGGCTCCATCTCACGAACTGTGAGATCATGACCTAAGCTGAAATCAAGAGTTGGATGCTTAACTGACTGAGCCACCCAGGTGTCCCATGAAAGGATTTTTAAAAATTTTTTTT